AAGAAAGACTTCTATGTAACTATTTGCAACTGCTACAGCTTAACATTTTAAAATATTATCTGCTGCATTGCTACACAGTGAACAAAAAGTGAGCTGATGTAAAGGTCAGAATCAGGCATGTGTTTTTAGCACAACTGTACATACAGAACTTGAGAGAAAAGTATATTTAAAAATATTAAGCAGGAGTGTTCTCTCTCTGTTCCTCTTCATCCCTTGTTTCTCTCTTTCTCTCAAAATAAAGATAGCAATGTTAAATATATTTAAGATGAACAATGGCTACTCTAGAACTAGCTTTAGGATCACATATAAGGTTCCACAATATGGTTTTCCCTGGCTGGAGCCTTTTTGAAGATTATAATATTCTGTGTAGGCAGACCTATCGTTTTTAGAGATGTGATTTTATAATTTTAAGCAACAGACTAATGGAATAGTTTTAAAGCAATATTTAAAATAAGGTCCCATAGCTTAACACATGAAATTCAGAAACTGGCAGTATATACTGGGGGTTGGCAAATGCCAGTTAAATGGTGTAATTATCATTTGAGTGGCTCTTCAACAGGTTCAGTGTTCTGCTAATAGGTCTGGCAGCCTTTTTTACTTTTAAATTAACTAAATCCACTTTGGAGAAAGCAGAGCCACAGACCCTTGATAGGAAGAGGCAGATTGGTGGACATTGACCCAGTCGTGCCCCATATTTTCAGGTGCCCTACTCAATTGTGTATTCTGCATATGGGTAAGGACATCCCTGTATATAGGTGGGTCAGGGCTGTTCCTCATTCTGGCAGTCCAAGTTCAAAAGGTGGGGGTCCACAAAGACTTTAAATATACCTTGCCGCTACAGACATTGGTTACAAAAACTTCCCCCAGAATCACAAATGCACAGATTTGTAGGGAGGAGTAGCTGCCACAATCAAATGATTTTCCCCCCTAAAACTAGGGGCAAACACTTGAATTTTCCCCCAGGGGCATCCCAAGCTCTTCTGCCAAAAGAGAGCTTAAAAAAAGAAAAGAGGAAAAACAAGCAGCAGTCTCTGGTAGCTGACCTCTCAGTCTGAGGCATGCAAATACACATAGACAGATATATCTCCTGTACCTTCCAGGACACAATAGTCAAATCATCACCTTAAAAATGTGATTTTTATTACAAAACAAAAGATACACTTGATAAAGCATACTTGGTTGCTAGATGTTACAGAGCAACTAAGGAAAACAAATTAAAACACAGAAAATCTCTGGGAACAATGCTGAGATGGCAAATGGGAAGGGGAGGCATAGATTCACACAGCGCAGTTCAAACCAAAACACAAAATAAAGAAAATACCCTGACCCTGATCATGTCTAGATTCACTTTTTCCCTTTACGTACTCCCAGTCTTTTCTTGGTTCAGTCTACTTCCATGCCCTGAATTCCTTGGAGGCATGGTAATCCTGCCTGGGTTTAAATTATTCTCTCTGTCAACTCCTGGTTTAACTCTCCCAAAGAAAGCAGGAAAAGAATCTATATGCAGGTCAAATTTCAGGCCACTGTCTTGATTCGTTCTCCTGGCCCCACCTTGACAACACCTTTGCTAGCTATCTGAGTTTAACCCCTTAGCCAAGGATGCTGGTCATCTCTCCTTCTATCCATCACAATGTGTCTGATCACATGCGGTGTATTGAAGGATCAAGACCTCAGTTGATAATGGACATAATGAAAGGATCAAAGTGTTGCTTTTCATTAGAGCAACATACAGAAAATGTCTGGGCTTATCATTATTTTGAGCATGTGAAGAAGCATAGAAAATCTCATGAGAAAAAGTCTTCTCTCATAGTCAGGTCAAGTAAAACAAAACCTCCATTTTATTTCAAGTCATGATTTAGGATGTGCTTGGGTTTTTTTCTGAGCTCACTTACT